ATAACCACAGTCATTAGTATCACTGACTAAAGATTCTGGATATTGTGATGTTTTGGAAACAATTACAGATTTTTCATTTTTGTTTGATGAAGGAGTGTTACATGTAATACTATTGGAAGTATTTCCTTTGATAACTTTTGATGGTTCTACTTTTGTATTGTTGTTGTATACTATAGTATGCAACAACAATACAAAAGTAGAACCATCAAAAGTCAAAATATCAAAATAAGAAATGAGGTATGCATTGCGTATACGCAATGCATACCCTATTTCTTATTTTGATTTAAACTGTATTTCATAAAATTATTTACCTTCAGTTTTCAACCATATGCCATTTGTTTTTGTAATAAAAAACATATTTGTAAATATAACTTGAGCACAATCATTGCGGTATTTTAAAAATCACACTTGTTATTTGGTTTTTTATTTATTACATTTTCCAGAAAAAATAATTCAAAAGTAAACAGACGTAAAATAATTCTAGACCCTCTGCAACTGAAATCGGAAACACCAAAGATTAAATATTCATAGATAACAATTAGTAATCCAAGTAATAAAACTCGGAAGTTTTTATAGGGTTGCAGTACTCTGCTTTCACTACTTGTTCTAGGAAAAATTACTTGAAGAGATATTATCAGAAATAGTTTGAAGAGAATTTATAACAAATAAACTTTAAATAATGTATTTCAAATTCATAAATAACTCAGGAAAAAATGTTATAAAATGTTTTTTTTTAAGTATTAAAAAAAGGTCAAAAAAAGTATAAAGAAGATTGCTCTCATTATAAAGAATTTCTATAGAAATTTTGTATAATTTTTATTGAACTTTTTTCTGAAAACACATAAATAAACAATAAATAAGGTTTTTTTATTGTATATACTTTTGTATATACTATGTACGATACTTTTATTGTATAGGTAACAAATAAAAGTTTTTTTATTTGATTTCTTATTTTTAGGTACTTCATTATTTGAATCGGTTAATGTTAAAAGGGTGTAAGTCCTACTATGAAAACTTTTGGAAAACAAAAAAAAACTGCATTTTCCGCCGTAGTAAATTTTTGTTAATGGTTTAATAATTTTTTTACCTTAAGGATAATGTTTTTACCTTCAAAAAAAAAATTTATCGAACAATTACCAAAAATTTACTACGGAGGAAAATGCATTTTTTTTTTTTAGTTTTTAAAAAAGTTTACATTATTGGACTTCCGCGCTTTTCACATTCACTGATTTATTTCTCTTTTTTTTAAAAAAAAAAAAAAAAAATTAAATTCGTTATTGTAACTGTTTTACTTGCAAAAACTTTTTTTATAAAAACATAAATTTTAGCAAGCATAATATTTTTATAAAAACTTAAACATTAATAAACAACAAATGTTTATTAAAGCGTAGATGTATATATCTTTATTTATTACCTGAAAAGAAAACAAAAACAAAAAGCAACCTTCACGTGAAACAATTCCTTGCCAACTTTAAAGAAATTGCTAAACAAAATGAATATGGTTTTGAAAACTGAAAAAAAAAAAAAAATTTAATTTTTAATTTAAAAGTTTCATTCGGACTATTCGCTTTAATAGGTAACCATGAGATACATTTACGAAGTAACCATGTAAAATTAATCAATGAATTGACAAAATGATTAAATGGTAAACATTTTATAAGAAGCAAAACCGGCAAATGATTTCATTAGTTACAAACATCAGAAGAATTATGATCAAACTTAAAAACAAATTTAAAAATGATTTTTTTCAGTACAAAATAAATACTACGAATAAAATAAAGAAAAACATTTCGAGGAGTAAGACTCCAACATGCAGGTTTTAATAAATGTTAACTTGCCCTCGCTAATATTTATTTATTTTTTAACAAGTTTTTTATTGTTTCTTTTAGTTTTCTTTTTTAAAACTAATTGAGTATTCAATTATTTAAAAGTTGATTTTTTGATTACATAACTTTGTATAATAAATTGTTTTTTATTTCTATTAAAAAATAAATTTTGTCACAAATGCTTCAATGCAAATAATGCAACTTGATGTCATCGGACCACAATAAACAAATTTAGATACGAAGAAAAAAAACATCTCAGGAAACCAGTTTCCAAAGATGAGCTTTTTTTTAATTAGACTCAAAAAAGCTCAAAGCAACAAAACAACAATCACACAATAAAAAAAAATTGTATCTTTAAGGATTATACTAAAGTAAAAAGTAATTATCTCAACAATAAAAAAAAAACAATAATAAATCTGTCTTATCTCTAAAAAAGTTTGGATACTATTTTTTTTAAAAAACTTTCGCTCTTAAAATACCAAAATAATGCTACGTGGAGAATAACTTTGAAAAACTTTTTCTTAATAAAAAGCCACATCTCATCTTAAGCGCCTCAAAACGTATTATCTTAAGCAACTTTACCAAGTACTATCATAATTTAAATAGCATGACAACAGCCAGAGGCAATTTTACGGAAGGAGTGTCTCCCCCCCCCCCCTCGAAAAAGGTGATTTTCAAGTTAAAATCGTTGTTTTTACGAATTTAGTCGGATAGTCGGGTATTTGACACAATTCAGTCGGGTCAATTTTCGTATTGAAGATATTTTTTTTTTGAAACCAGTCGATACTTTTTGAGGATTTACCTCCCCCTACCTCCCTCACCCTCATTTTATTTGTAGAATAAAATGAGGGTGAGGGAGGTAGGGGGTACTATATGAGTATATAACCCATGGAATTAGCAGTAGATGAGCATAAAATATTGAGGATTTTATAAATAAAATATTAAGGATTTTATTTTTGATAATCTTGTTCTGACATAATTGCAAAATGTTGAATTATAATAAATTTTAACGGGGATGGTAAATTTTTTAAAAATAAAACAATGAAAGGATATTAGCTATACAACTTTTATTTAACCAAAAAAAGTTTGCAATAAAAAATTAGTAGTCTACCTAAACGAGGTTATAGAATCTGCTCATTTTTTGCAACTTTTCTCTAATCCTGGTTAAATGCTTTTCCGCGGTGATCTGTGATGGCTGTTAAATCTTCTTAGAGGACCTTAATAATTACAAAAAAAAAAAAAAAAAAAGAACTTAGAAAATGAATACTACATAACATCAGAGTTTTTGTAAAGAGATTTTTGTTATAATAAATTTAAATGTAAACATTTGAAGCTTTAACGAAAATTTAGAAAACTCAAAATTTTTAAATGAAACCAGAGTGAATTTTTTTTTTTTTTGAACACATCTTCCTTTAAGTGAAAAAGCTCATTGTTTGAATTACCTGAGTACACACATCAGTTCATAATCCGCAGTTTAAATCATGATGGGGGCTGATAGTATTTTAAATAATGGTTAATAGAAAAAAATAATATTTTAATTTTTTTGTTACATTTTTTTAGTTCTTAGATTTAAAAAACAAATCAAAAATTTACTTAAATTAAATGCAATTTAATCATACCTTTTAATTTACGTAAATTAAATGCAATTTAATCATACCTTCTAAACTAAACAACATGGGAACAACTTGAAAAAAAAAACAAACATTTAAATTTAGTTCAACTACTCATTGCTTATAGATTAATAATATTTATAAAAATCATTCAAACAGTTATCAGGTCATTAGTAAAAAGAGTGCTTTTGAGTTTTTGAGTCATAGTTTCTAAAACTATATTAATTACCTTGGTTTTGGTAAATGACACAAGTATATATTAACTGAACAGTAAAAATATCAAAACTGAATCATGACTTTGATATAATATGTTTTTTAAAGTTGAAGCAAAAGACAGAACAACACGTATTTGAGAAAAAAAAACATTTAAAGTTTTAAATGAAGATAATGATCTTTTACATCTATTTAGGCTTTTCTATAAATACTTTCATTATTTTCCTGATTTTCTTTTGTCGCTTTTTACCACCATCTGACATTTTTTGCGAAATATAAATACATTTATATCTTCATAAACTGAATCACATTAAAACCGTCGCAAACGCTAAAGTGGTTTAAAAAAATGAAGTGGTTTAAAACGCTGAAGTGGTTTAAAACCTTCTGTAAAACACTCATTGTTTTAGTTTATTGCAGAACAAACTGCAATTTTAAATTTTTTTGATCAACAAAAAGATTTTTTAGCCGCTTACTCCAAATTATTAAATTTCTCATTTGAGTTTTGCATTTGGTTGTGAGAATATTTGGATTACAGCTCATCATCCATTAGAAAGATAAAAATAATGAATTCCATTTTGCTATATTAATATGAATAATAATTTTTCAGGTGGTTTTAGTTGGGCACGTATGGTACATTTTATTGCATATATTGGAAACTGCCTAAATTTATTTTTCCTATTTTTAGTGTTTTATGAGCATTCTTAAGAGGCAAAGAAACTATAATTATTAACTGCCATTTATATAAAGCTAGTCCCATGTAGGACGAAAGTTTGTTCCATAGTGCTACGTCATTGTGTTACGGCATAGTGTTTCCACTAAAGTTACATTTAGAATATGTCAAGTAGCTTAAGGAATAACTAGTTTATTGCTCATACTCTCGAATCCTTAGTATGAGGGAGGGGGTATTATTTTTTGGAAACTTTTTCCACCCACTCTTAACTTATAAAGACCCCCACCCCCTACCCCCGTTTATTAATTTTTGCTTGTTTTCAACAAAAAATTAAAAAAAAAACTAAAAAAAAAAATTAAGTGAAAGTTGCCCTTAAAAATTGATAATTAATTATTTCAATTACCGATAAAAACAAAAACTTTCAGTGTAAACAGGCTTTAAAAACCGTCGACCTAGTAAATCTCGGTTTATCGAAAATGAGCTTTTGGTTTATTTCTCATCGAAATATAAAACTTATATAAACTTATTAAATCCTATTGAATTTATGATAAAAAAGCTGTTAGAAAATATGCATTTGACCGCAAGCCATGCTAGAATTTTATAGTTTTATGTTGGCATGTACCGGAATTCGTGACTTTTAGGTCATTCCGGTTCCGGATGGGATTAAAATTTTTTAGGCCGGAATGCCGACCTGAAATTATTTTTTACCTTTATTTTTCAAGACATATGATACAGACTGTGTAAATTAAATCAAAAAGAATTTTATAATTGACCCCCTGCCCCCATATCAATTACGCTATTTGCAGACCCCCTCTTTCCATCCGAACGTACGTACTTTATGGACGATCCCTCGTTCCAGCCGTTTGCAGACCCTGCAGTTCCTCGTTTGCAGACCCCCTCTTTCCATCCGAACGTACGTACTTTATGGACGATTCTCGTTCCAGCCGCAATTCCGGCCGGAATTTTATTAATAATTCCGGCAAATCCAGTTCCGGCTGGGATTCAAAATTTCCGATCCGGTACACCCCTAGTTTTTATGCGTGTTTTGTAAAAAATATACATTTGGATTGATAAAATAAAATTTTTTATAAAAAAAAAATTTCCATCTGATGCCATATTATGTTGTAGTATGGCATTAGATTGAAATTTTTCACGAACTGACCGAGAAAAATATAGTTTAGAAGAAAAAGATACTTTAGGCAAAATTTGTAAAACTTACAAAAAAAACAGTACGAGTTATTGATTGCTTGAAAACTCTCTGAAAAAAATCGGACCTTAAAGACGTTAAGCATAATAATCCCACCTTAATAAAAGCTTTTAAACTTGGAAAAAGATGTCTAAACCAAGTCGAGGATGAAGATGCTGATGATGAAAATGAAGATGCTGTAACTGCTCAACCAAGCTAATCAAGCAGGAGGAGGACAAAAATTAACTATCCCAGATGTCAGACAAGTTTAATATGAGTGGTTTGTAAACATCCATGGAACCCTTAAAGCACGTTAACCCAGGAAAATATTTGTAGCGCAATGCAAACTTTTTTATGGACAGTGGCTTGCCTAATAATTAGAAGAGGTGCCAGAGAATGAGAAAACTATTTTCTCAAACCATTGGATAAATAATTGGAAGAGTAAGCACGGTGTCAGTTTGCGCCATCTTAACAAACGCTTTCAAATAATGCAGACCGACTGCGAAGAAAGAATATTTGAGTACCTAAAAAATATTTGGACTTTACGTTAATACTTTATTGAAAATTTTGGAGTAAATCTACCTATGCTGAATAGTGAGCAAATGCCACTCCATCAGAATAAAAGTTCTTCTCAAAAGACCTTGAACTTTACTGGTTCGGACACATACTTTAAGAAAATTATTCTCTTTCAAGAGAACGAATTACTGTTTGCACTTAAATTTGCAGTGACCCTAAAGTCTCACTCAAACCAGAATTTGTCTTTAAAGGCAAATGTGTTCGAGTTAAGCTTAATCCTCCTAAAGAAGTGAAGTTCCAATGGGCACCTGAAAAGTCATATCCAATGGAACATGTGCTGAGTACAATAGCTAATTCACCAAACAGGCACAATCTTTTTACACATCAAAATTACGGGATTTATGTTTTAAATAGTTATAGTGTTCATATAATGCCGAAATCAAAACTGCCTTTCTTAAAAAAGGCTATATTTTT